GTTACTTGCACATCCCGAACATAAGTGCTTTGAATGGCCCAATTTTACGGCTCTTTGCTCTAGATTCTTCAATCAAAACACCTTATACCGTCCTAGAGCCGTGACTACATTGGTCACACTTCTTCTTTTTTTTTTCTTTTTTTTCTTTTTTTTAAATTTTAAATAGATTGGCTAAGAGAGTGAGACCAGCTAAGAGATAATAACAAGAGCAGTCCAAAATGAAGCTAAGATACGTGGTTCACCAAGAGGACAAGATAGCACGATTTAAGTCTCATCTAATAGCATCTTAAACAAGAAAAGGGATTATGCACAAGTCAGACAAAGCACAAAAACATTCAATCATTCACACCATCAGAAATGAGAGATATGAACAGTGACATATCAACATCAAAACAAAACACAAAAATTTTGGACTTGACTAGTCAACTACAAGCAAGATGACTAGTCAACAGTGTTGAAATGTGCTGAAGACAAAGAACAGACCAGCTAATCAATCAATTGAGCAAAGGCCAATGGATTGCCGAAGTGTAACATGTTTCTGAAAATCCAAGGCCTTGGTGAGTATATCTGCTAGCTGTTTTTCAGAGGGAACAAATTTCAAAGATAAAATGTTGTCTTCCACAAGATCTCTAATAAAATGGTGCCTAATGTCTATATGCTTAGTCCTAGAGTGTTGAACAGGATTTTTTGAAATATCTATGGCACTCATGTTGTCACAATAGATTAGAAAGCATGACTGAGTAAGACCATAGTCTTCCAATATTTGTCTCGTCCAAAGGAGTTGAGCGCATCACTACAACCTGCCCAATTGACATCACTATGCCCAACAAGATTGACACAAGTGTCATAGGTATACCACAACCCAAACTCAAAAGTTCTACTCACATATTTTATGATTCTTTTGACAGCAAACAAATGAGACTCTTTGGGTTCACTTTGGAACCTAGCACAAACTCCTATACTATAAGAAATGACAGGTCTACTTGCAATCAAGTAGAGAAGGCTTCCTATCATGCTTCCATATAGAGTTTTCAACAGGGACAGATGAGCTGAGATTATGAGGGATTATGACAAGTTGACACATCAACTGGAACAGAATTGTCAAAAGTTGACAGGGCAATCGGTTTGCTAAAAGTTGACAGGTCAACCACTAGATCCATACCTGGAGATTCTCCCTCAAGCATAGGAGATAAAAGACCACAAAAACACCTGTTTAAGATGTAACAAGCTGTATTTACAGCTTCAGCCCACAAATGTTTAGCAAAATTTTTTTTTTTTTTTTTTACCCTAGCCATCTCAACAAGAACTCTATTTTTTTTTTCTCTCCACAACAACATTTTGCTGAGGTGTAGTAGATACATAGAACTCATGCTTAATTCCTATCTCCTCATAGAATTTCATAAACTGAGAATTCTCAAACTTATAACCATGATCCGTTGTAATTCTAACAAGAGGCAGATGACTAGTCATCTTAACTTTTTGTAAAAGGTGGCAGACAGATTTAAACCTTTGAAAGGTTTCTAATTTTTCAAGCAAGAATGAGACCCAAATAAACCCAAAGAAATCATCTACAATGGCTAGGATGTATTCCTTGCCACCAAGGGAAAAGGTTTGGATAATACCAACAAGATAAATGTGAACAAGTTCAAAAGAACATGAAATTTTGTTGAT